AAAAACAACAAAAAAAACCCCCCAACAACACACACAAGAAAAAAACCAACATGTAATGTATTTCAATTTCACTAGACATTAGCATTTATTCTTTACACTTTTCAAACTAAAGTAAAGCACGGGAGATTTATTGAGAACATTCTAGGGCATCTGTAGTCCGATTGAGTGGTTCAGCAGCAGCTTCAGGTACATGTACAAAATTCTGATTAGTGCGCTGCTATCGGCAACTCATTATATGAGTTTTCAAATCAAAAGAATGCTCTTATATTCCTCCCCATAAGTCCCTTTGTGTTGCACTATTTTTTATTTATTATTATTTTTTTGTTTGGTAAGTGTTTTTAACGGCGCTCGCAACTGCATAAGGGCATATGAGCGCGCGGGACACATTAACCATTTTTCAGTTGGTAGGAAATTTTGAATTTTACCCGGACGGCGGCCGAAGCCTACTCTTATCGATTTTAGACCAATAATAAGTGATCTTTAACGTGCTTGACTTGCACAATGGACCTCCGAGATTTTTCACCCTTGTCCGAGAAGGCTAGGTGTAGATCTTTCCTACCAGAAGATCAGGGGTGTGGCTGAAAGACAGCAATAAGAATGTGCCAAGAAGTGGCAGTAGAAAGACTGCAGAAAGTTTCAGGAGCCCAGAGGAAGGGGCAAAGGAGATGAGGGGGTGGGGGCAGAAAGTGGAAACGAAAGCAGAAGACAGAACATTGCTATAGAGCGGGAAAGGAGGTGAAAGGAAACAATTATAGAGAAGAAAATTTATCGGTCGCTACCCGATATCGCACCCGGGACCTTCGAATGAGAGGCAAACACCTTAACCTCTAGGCCACGAAAGCCCCCGCGTTGCACTATGATAGCCACTATATAATCTGATACTATTATTTTGTTCTTTCTTTTACTGGGTGCGGGGGGAAATCACATCAATGGTTATTAAAGCATTTTTTGAGCGTCCGTTTCATGCCAACGTACCTTTCTCTAGCCCCCCTCCACCCCCCAAAAAACTAACAAAAAACAATCCACAAGCCACACACACACACACACACACACACACACACACACACACACACACACACACACACACACACACACACACACACACTACACACACACACATACAAAAGAAACTCTAGAAACGAATAAACACCCCCCCCCCCCCCTTTAAAAAATGCAGTGTAAAACAAACCCAATAAACTACAAAACGACCACTCCAACAAAAGAAACTTTTTTCTTTCCTCGTTTTTAGAGGTACGTTACATCTGCCGCTGCGTGATCTTACAATGTGTATGGAAAGGGGGTGTGATGGGTCGTTTTTAACGATTTATTTTTATATACTTGTGATCTTAGACAAAAACAAAAGAAAAACCCCAACAGACGTGAGAGCTTTTTAGTAGATTCATTTTCTTTTCGTATTAAGACAGCCAGGGATCCCTACTTGGACTTCGGAGTTTTTAATTGGACTCATTCAAGCCCGCGGAAATAATCCCCCCTTTCAAACAGCCCTGTCGACCGCTGCCCTACTCAGAGACTGTTGTTTCCAATGGCAAGCAAAATCACTGAACCACAAAGAAAAAGTAATCTTACGTGAACACCTAGATTTAGCAGCAACAACGTTTTATGAACTCTAACGTTTTATGAACTCTTTCAAGCCGTATGCCAATTCCCCATTTTGTGGCAGCACGTTTTGTTGAAAATGTGTAGATATCTATACGTACATTGCCATTTTCACTACAAGTTTGTATTCCAACCAAAAGAATCAGAAAAGAATGAAGATTTGATATTATAGGGACACAGGTAAAGGTCTTGTACAGGCAAGCAGATATTTATGGTGAATGGGGAAAACAACAAAGAATTAGAATACAGCGTCAAGTCAGTTATTGACGTACCGACTTCAAGGAGTTAAAAGGATTACAGATAGAGTAATGAGTAATTAATCCATTGTACCAATCTGCCACTCCCCTCCCTTCTTTCCACTCACTTCCACGACCACGTAGCCGTCTCGTCAGATTTTCTTCTGTAAATTCAAGAGAGGAAGGGATTTTTATGAACAATATATTATCGTTGGGGAGTAAACAATCTAGATTTTTATCTTAATGTTGTGCTCAAAGACTGAAGTAAATCTCTTTAAATTAAAGTGACTTGATATAGGAAATGAGTTCCTTTATTTTGATTAACAGTCTTGTTTATGTTTTATCCTGCAAGTGGAATCAAAACCGTATTGTTAAGTTTTGTTCAAGTTGAAATTATGAAGATTTTTAAATGCTTAAAGTGCGCCAAACATTTCACTGCCAAAATTGGTATCATCGGCAATTTCAGAAGCCCAACGTCATCTTTAACTTATTTCTTCCATTTCGTTTAAAAGGAAGGCTCTTCTCCCCAGATGTATTGGTCATGGTCAGACATTGACGGACGAACTATTATCATTTTGATTTCTTGTCATAGTGCATGATCCGACATGCTCCAGCAAAGTTGATGTCCTAAAACTATTAGAAGTTTTAGAAGTTGGCGTTTTTCTGACCGTGACTCAACCCTTTATAACAGTCAACTCTGGCCATTGGTTATTTGTAATATAGCAAAATAACTGCGACTGAAAAATGACTCAGAATGGGCCCCGTAACCAATCTTCAACAACTTAAATGATGTCCTCGTTAACATGGAAATGACATTCTTTGAGTGATTTTTTAAGATAAAGAAACATAAAAAAGTCTGATGGGGTAGGTCTGGTGAATAAGCTTGGTGTGGTAGGATTTCAAAGCCGCACTGTTCTGCTGTCTTGACTGCTTGTTGTGCCCTGTGCGCAGGGGCGTTGTCATGCAGTAGAAGGACCCCATTACGGAGTTTTCCCACAACATTTCTCACCAATTCGGACTGCAGTTTTATCAGCAAACCTGAGTAGTAGTCTCCTATGACTGTTTTTCCACATCCCAGGGAGTCAGTCATGATGATACCTTCACAATCCCAGAAATACGACAGCATGACCTTTCCACTTGTTTGTGTTACCTTTGCCTTCTTTGGTGGGGGGAGAAGAAAAGGTTTCCCATTGCAAAGAGGACATTTTTTGCTCTGGATCAAAATGATAAATCCATGTTTCATCCATAGTCACAATGTTTTTAAAGAAATTTGGATCATTAGATTTAATTCGAAGGACAGTTTCGCAGGACTCAACCCTCTGCTTCTTTAGCTCGTTCGTCAAAAGGCGAGGTACCCACCTCACAGACACCTTATTCATGTTATGATGGTCATCTAGAATCGTTTCAATTGACCCTACACTGATTCTCGTTTCACTTGAGAGCTGTTTAAGAGTTATACGTCGGCTTTGTAGAACTAGTTTCTTCACCATGGATACATTCTCTTCAGTTACCACAAATGATTGGCGCCTTTCACGATCTTCATCCATCACCGACATGAATCCAGATTTGAATTTTCTTACCCAGTAATGTTACAGTATTATAAAGAGGACATTTATCACCATAAACTTGGACCATCTCCTGAAAAATGCTCGAAGGGGATTTTCCTTGCAAGTGTAAAAACTGGGTGCTATTCAACAGGCTCAATGGCACAGCTTCAGCAAAGAAAAACAAACGTTTTTGTACGTGGTTTTGTTGAACACGCCGTCTGTGCCTTATTATTGTCGGATTTTTCTGAATATTTGTATGGTGTGCTCCAAAGAAATTGTCTAAAGGTTGTCGACATTTTATTACTATACCATGATTTTTCATACCCAGAGGAAAGACCTATTGAACACCTCTCCCCCTCGTACAACATACTTTTAAAGAAATAAGGTAAAATTAAGGAACTTAAAAAAACCCAAAACAAACACAAAATATACCCCCCTCCCTTTAAAAAAAAACCCAACAGTGCGTGGAAGGAATCGATAAGAGCCGATAGGAAAATTCACTGCACGGCGTCGGTCGGCAAAGCTACCACAACTTGATTGGAACTACCTATACAATCACAACTACAACCCAAAGTTTAAAGAAAAATCTATTTGCCTGCAGTCTTTATTACTAGCTATTTTCTTTTTCAAAGTGCGGTTAAAAAAAGCAAGTAAAGACGGCCATTGCCTTCTTCAGAGATAAAGAAAGAAAAGACCAAAATAAGAATACCTAACCATTAAAGAAAAAAGACGAAGAAAATAAGACGGCGTTCCTCTGTCGAATAAGTTAGCTGTCTTCTCAGACATGTTAGCATAACAGAATTTTTCTGATCCAAGATTAAAGCAGTTTTACAGTACACAGCGCCGTGGAACAGTGCGAAAAGCTCAAATTGGGTCCGTGCCGTACAGGCACACAGGCATGCGCCGGGGTTTCTTACTTCATTTATCCCCTCTAAGCACTGCTTTCCCAGACTGGAGGTTTGATCTTCCCCCGTATTTTTTCGCCCTTAGTTATCCCCGACAGTTGACGGCTACGTGTTGCTCAGTCATGAGGAAGTGGACTAATACAGGAAGGGCCTCCAGGCTACAACAATTATTGTCAACAAAAATCATTTCAGTGAGTCTCAACAGAGTGATCAACTCGAGTGTACTTTGATAATACAAAACAGTTTGCGAGTTCGTTGGTCGTCTTTGCCGACAGACAGAAAAATGAGGAGGTTGAACTGAGAGCAGCATCTGCTAAAATGTGCTGGACTTTTGTTGCGACTCAACCAACATGGCGACGGTTTAATGTAGGCTAAGTCTGTTTTATTGACGAAGACCACCATTACTCTCCATTTTCGTATAGCCCTGGAAATTAAGTTCAGTATCACCAACAGTTCTGTGCACTAGTTTTCTCTGTACGTGCATTTTATCAACAAAGAATACTAGTGTTGTTTTGTCATCCAGTCTTGGAACTCAAGCTTTTTTTTCTATTTGTACCACTACGAAAATGTTGAGTGCCGCCGAGCTTCACAGCATCAAGAACGGCGGGTGCCTGACACAAGCCATGCAGCAAAACAAAGATGACCTGTCACTCAAGAGCAAAATATATGCTATTGAATACGAGAGACGTCAGTCACTGAAAACAATGGAAATCAGGAGGAGACAGTTTCTGCATCAGTATCACCAGACGGCAGTGAAACGCTCGGTACCCCTGTCCGTTCTAGTGGAGAGAAAGAAAAGAAAAGTTGAAGACGGCAAGAAAGAAGAACGGAGGAGTAAAAGTGTTTTGGACAATCGTACGTCTGAGTTTATCGATGGTTTGAAAACAAGACCGTTAACAACTGGAATAACTCGCAAAACTTTGCTACAAAAGTTACAGGAGCAAGAAAAACCTCATATGACTGACTTCGGTGAAAAGAAACTTCCTGAAAACGAAACGAAGAGTGGTGCAATGGGCTTGTACCAAAGAAGCTTCGGTTTGATTAAGAATCACTCTGAAAACTCAAATCCCTTTGTGGCTTCGGTCGGTTCTATCATAAAAAGGTTAAAAGGCGGTAAAAGTGGGGAAAACCAGGATGGTGAGAGAGAGAAGCCAGTCAACGAACTTACCCGAAAGATTTTTGGAAAATATTTTAATGGACAAACCACAGATGGTGCAGATGTTGAAGAGAGTGGAACTGCTACTTTGAAGGAAGGGAATTCAGTTTTAGTTTCTAAAAGTGAGAGTGAAACATGCAACAGCGACAATGATCCATGTGGTGACCAAGTTAAGCAGAGCGCTAATAAAGACAAATTATTAATTAGTGACTCTCTTACTCAAGGACAACATGGAAATTGTCGGGACACCAACGGTGGGACCAAAAGCGATTCTGACAGCGACTCTAGCATTAAGGCAATGACGGCCAAACAAGACGAATCAACGCATACGTATTTCATAAACCGAGGAAGATCACAAAGCAAAACTATTAGTAAACACGACACTCCACAAATGAGTCTTCCTACAAATGAGAAAACCAAGGGTAAGAAAGACCTCATTTCCATAAATATAATTCCACCTCACGTGAAGTCACACGACTCCTCAACTAAATATGTTACAGCAGAGCGAACGTCGAGACCAGAGAAGAACCACGTCTTCCGAGAAAAGACTGGTTTGAGTGACTCTCCAGAAGATGCGGACGCTATTCTTTTCCCGCATGGATCACACGAAAGTCGAGGTGGAGGGGTGAATGTCTCAGGACCTCAGAACGGGGCATCTCATCATCATGTGGGAACAGAACAACACCGAGTGCAACATGTAAACTCCAGGAAAAACACACGCTCGTCTGTAGGCTCTCTCCAGTTTCGCAGATCGAGTTCCTTAGGTCCTTATTGTTCGAAGCAGCGAGAAGAGAGTACTGGGGACAGAAATCGTCGACCTCAAACTCGCAGCAAGAGTCCGGAGATTCCTGTAGTGAACAGATCCCAAACCATCATCATTGTCCATTCAGAGAGCGGCACAGAACAGGAGAAACACAGCATATTTGGAAATCAGAAGAATACAACGTCACAGAATGGGGACGAGGAAGGAAACGTGAAGTCCAAAGAACAGTTCGGAGGTGATAAATCATCTTTTGTACATTCTTTAAATGGAACTGGTCATAGTACCGATAACAATTCGAATCATTATGGGAAAGATGGTGAAGAGGAAGATAATGATGACGATAATGTTGATAATGCTGGTGACAATAAAATACCACCTCTTTATTTAGTATCCCCGAGCCCAGAAGAGACCACAACAGATAGTGTGTCAGTAGAGGGTTCAAAACTGTCAAGAGCAGACTCTTTCAGCCGAACTGTTGGCCGACGTCGCTTGTCAATGCAGACGACGGGGGCTCTACGTCTTTGGGCGGAAGTGCAGAAATTGGATGAAGAACGTGAGAGGAAACTAGTGCAGTCCGAGGAACAGAAGTACGGTCAGCTGGTGGAGAACCTCGCTGCGGCAGAGTCTGAGGCCACGGAACAGGCGGAGGTAGAATGATTTTGTTTGTTTGTTTGTTTGTTTGTTTTATTTTGTTTCGTTTTGTTTTTTTTAATGTTGGTGTTTCTACGCTCTCATCAACACGATTTAGGGCTGAGGAAAGGGTCAGGCTGTTTTGTTTTCGGAAAAAAACAATGTAACAAAAGTTTATAAACAAACAAACTTCAAAACCTCGCCCACCCCTTCACCTCACATATCATTCCTTCTCGACTGTCCCATGCACACAGCATCTATTCCAAAGTGTGTTCAACCTTTTGAGGCCGAGATTTTATTTACTAAAATGTATTCGTGTTGTAAAACTGTTGGTTATGTGAGCGACTGCAATTAATATTCTAGGCCCCGATATTACTATTATACTCTGGGTTTCTTTTTTTAGTGCTGGTATTTTGCGCCCCAATCGACACCGTTTACATCATTTAGGAGGCGGGATTCGATCCTGCCTGCCAGGGCTAACACGGGCTGAGAGGGAAACAAACGTCCTCGCAGAAAGAAGGTGATGCTCGATTTTTTAAAGTCTTTTTTGTTGTTAGTGGTTTAAAGCGCTCGCAACTGCATAAGGTCATAATAGCGTGCGGGACACATTAAACATTTTCAGTTTGTAGGAAATTTTGAATTTTGCCAGGGTGGCAACCGAAGCCTACTCTTATCGATTTTGGACTACCAAAGGATCTTTTACGAGCGCAACTTGCACTCGGAACCTCCGTGATTTTTTCGCCCTCATCTGAGAAGGCAAGCGGTGTAGATCTTACCTACCATAAGATCGGGGGTGTAGCTGGAAGACAGCAGTAAGAAGGAGCCAAGAAGTAGCAGTAGATAGGCTGCAGAAAGAGACGGGAGCCCAAAGGAGGAGCGGAGGAAGTGAGGTGGCGGATGCTCGATAAAAAATTCTCCCCACACGGGAATCGAACTCATATTGTCTGCGTGCGATTCTACATATTATGTAACCTGTGCTTGTGGTTAGCATAATGATAATACAACGCTTTCAAAGAGCAAGCTCTCAAAGGAAAAGGTAATTGCAAGTACACATTAATTATAGTGCGGTCAAAATTCGTGGTGCAACTTATTGTCAAATATTTTCTAAACTATCAAACATAGACTCTCCAGCTTTTGCACGATGACGTGTATTAGTTTGTCTTAACAGATCAATACATGTATTTTAGTAAACGCCTGTTCGCTGTATTCTAGAAAATTCCGTGATAAATACTAATACAAAATCTAAAAGGGCTGTTTCAAGAGATTTTAAAAGGTTAACAGCTGGGAAATTATTGATGTTACTGTTAAAAGCTAGATCTAGTCTGTATTTTTTTCAATTTTCGACATTATGCCTACTGAACACAAGTTTTGAGAAATTTTACTGCAAAAAATTATGTTCACTATACAATTAATTTCTTGTAACAAGTTTTGCTCTAAAAAGTGTTATTGCTGAACTGCGACGTAGGCCTTATTATTGTTAGAAGCGGGAAGTGCTGGGAACAATCCCATTTTCTACGCAATGGAGATTCATTTTTGAAGAAGAGTCTTTCTAATCTAACATCAATTGTTGTGGGGGAAATATTAATAAGATTAAGTTAAGTCAGATCGATACAAATGGCTGTGCAAAGTATGGGTGACTCTGATTCACCTGAAAAAAATATTTGAGGATAAGTCGCGCCACGTTATTTGAACGCGCTATAACTCTTTGTCTTCATGTGCTCGGTGAGGTCGTGCCCGTGCAATAAGAAGAAGGTATTTATTCCTGACATTACGCCCTGTTTGAGAGGGCAGGGGCGGGGGTGGGGTGGGTGTCGAAATATTGTGATATTATCTTGTTACTCTGCGCAATTTGCATGTGGGATTTCCCGCACCGAAACAACGTGTTCATTCCAGCCCGACCCCCATGCCTTTGTTTACGGTCTCTGATTGCTACTGCGGTCAACTGAAAAGGGGTTGGTGTGGTGAGGGTAAGGTTACTTATTTATGCTTACGAGGGATAGGCCTACAATAACAATATAAGAACCGCCTTTTTATTTGAGTTTATTGCAACCCATCCAGCGAGAATTAAACTGCGATTAACTAATAGGGCTTGTAAGACAAGAAAATATGTCTCATTTCAAAATGTTTTCGTGCTTCCATACAAAAGCAGTACACCGCATACATATTCAGCAGAGCGTGCTCCCGCGTCTTGCAAAGTTGCTAATGTTAGGTTGTTTACGAATCTGCACAAGGTAACTTGCTTGGCAGTATTCCACGAATGTCAGTGTGCGTAGGTCTACAAATTATGTGAATGAATAATGCAGCTCTGACGTTGGCGCTATTTGCTCTCCTGTTGAGACCTTTTGTCATTGTTATTATTACCAATATAATAACCATTGTTATTATTATCAACATTACTATTGTTGTTTATCATTATTTTTATTTATTTATTTATGATGATGATGATGATGATGATGATGATGATGATGATGATGATGATGATGATTATCATTACTACTGCTGTTACTACTTTTATTATTACCATTATCATTATCATTATCTTTAACATTATCATTATCATTATGATCATTTTCGTAATCATTTACAACTCTATAACTTGTACGATGAATTGAAAGGTCCACGCCATCTCGAAAGGCCCCGAGAGGTTACGTGTATTATCTCTCGAAGAAAATAAAAGCATTGTATTTTAAAGCAATAATTGGTCGTCTTCACAATGAAAATCATGTAGGATTGGCTCTCTTGTGCGTCTTACATTTTGCCCTGCCTATTTTTTTTTCAGACACACCTAAATGCAAAGATCTGTTCTCTGATATGAGAGGGGTCGGGGGTCAAACGATAATGCAACGTCCCAAACAGTTTCTAAATCCCCGGAATCAGGGTCCACAGTTGACGTAAAGCATAATCGTCTGTAGCATAATATTGCGTCCGCTTTTGATAAATTTACATACAGGTGTTTTACATAGACGCATGGTTAGCTGTACAGGCTGGTGCTCTGACTTGAATTTGGAGAAGAAAGAACAGACATTTATTATGGGGTGCCCATTGCGGATGGGATCGGGTCGGGTCGGGTCGGGTCGGGTCGGGTCGGGTCGGAGACGATCGCCCCACTCGTCGCTTGAAAACAAACGCGTTTGTTTTGGGGCGACGAGTCGGGCGGGGTTCGGCTTGTGCCACGATAGCCGCTTTGTGCCCTCAATCTGGCTAACCAACCGCCTCTACCAGACCCGATCCACCAATGGACTCCAGGCTTTCAGTAACTGTTGTGTATTCTATGGTGATAATTAAGCTCCAAAATATTTCGAGACTTCAGTACTTCTGTGTTGCTAAAAAAATAGTATCAAAATTTTTATTAAAACGCAAGTAGAGTAGAGTATATTCAAGGGAGAGAGAATAAAGTTAAATTTGTTGAAAATATAGCACTATTAAAGGATTCCAGAAGCCAAACTCTGTTCAATACCCACAAAATTACGTATCAATATGTATTGTTGTAAAACAACTCAGCCTACTGCAATGAAAAGTTTAAAAGGCATTAAACCAGTTCAGCACTTCACATGTTGTATCAAACCTTCCTGTTCCCAGCGCCTTAAAGCCGTCAGACGCTTCCCTCCAGGTTTGAGCATGCCCGGCAGCGCAGAGCAAAGCCCTGGCGGTACGGCAGGTAGGCTACAAAAAAGGATGCAGTATCGTCGAAGATAGAGTCTCTGTTTACTGACTAAACTCTTGTACAGAAAAAATAATCGAACATTCACTGCGAACTCTCCCATCCCTACCCTCCCTCACCCCAAAATCCCACTCCCATGGACACACATACGCACACTCGGGCTCACACACACACACGCACACACACACACACACACACACACACACACACACACACACACACACAGACAGACACACACACACATACACAAAAGCACAACACCAACTGCTTGCCACCAAGGGTTACAATCTTTAGTGACGGAACACTATGCACACGAACTTACCTTATGCTTAGATGTGCATGTGTGATAGTTACTTTTGGTGCATGTCTCTCCCCCCCCCCTTACCTTCCTCCCACTCACCCCCCCCCCTCTCTCTCTCTCTCTCTCTCTCTCTCTCTCTCTCTTCGTGTGTATGTAAGTGTGTGTGTGTGTGTGTGTGTGTGTGTGTGTGTGTGTGTGTGTGTGTGTGTGTGTGTGCGAGAGTGTCTGAGTCTATCTCTTCCTCCCCCCTCTCTCTCTGTGTCTCTCTCTGTCTGTCTCGCTTTCTCTCTGTCTGTCTGTCTGTCTGTCTGTCTGTCTGTCTGTCTGTCTGTCTGTCTGTCTGTCTGTCTCCCTCCTTCTCTGTCTGTCTGTCTGTCTGTCTGTCTGTCTGTCTGTCTGTCTGTCTGTCTGTCTGTCTGTCTGTCTGTCTGTCTGTCTGTCTGTCTGTCTGTCTGTCTGTCTCTCTCTCTCTCTCTCTCTCTCTCTCTCTCTCTCTCTCTCTCTCTCTCTCTCTCTCTCTCTCTCTCCTTTATTCTTACAGTATCTTTTCTATTGGGTTGAGTTCTTCCCCTTTCGAAAACACTCTTTGTGTCTGGTAGAGCATTGGAACTATCTTTTTTCTGAACGAACTATAGCTATAGTAAGTTTTAAATTAGCCTACCTCTTCCTTCACTTTATCTAGCAGATCCAAATACAATACGGGGGTCCACAACAGCACGAAGGATGTCTCGGCAGGAGGGAGCTATCCACGTCACTGACGAAGTTTACAAATTTGTACGGAGGCGGTACAGTGTGTCCGATATCCGACATGCACTTTGGGTTCGGCCAGACCAGCAAAAACCAGCAAAGGCCGACTTTTTGGTCAATTCTTCAAGTAGTTCAAATGTTGGAAACAACACCGCTAGACGGAATTCGGTGACAGCTAGTCAGAATTCAGAGCGAATAGGGAGTGCGACTGGACGCAGTCGAATTCCATCAGCCAAGGGTAGACCCTCAGAATCGAGGAAAGGTAAAAGTCTACTCTCAGCTGTCTTTAGACCACTGGAAGGAACGCCACGCCGTCGAAGTGTCCCCGAGAGTAAAGATAAAAGTCGCGAAACAGTCAGGGAAATTATTACTTCCGCCGGAAGTGGTCGAACAGAAAGTAAAAATGGCAACCGAGTTCCTTCCGCTTCTGCTAACAGGAGGGACGCACGCAGTTACAGCTGGGCACCAGACGTAAGCCAACCCAAGAAGTGGCACATTCTGGCCCTAGAATTGTTGTCCCGAAACCAAAAAGGGTTGTCAAAATTTCGAACTGTTAGCCACCTGCTTCAATGTTTGAAGGAAGAGTACGAGCGCGAGAGGACAGACATGGTGTTTGAGGAACTGCGATACTGCACCTATCTCAGGTTACCAAAAGCACATGTCCCACTGGAATTACAGGACTGTGACGTGACCTCAATCTTTAGCAAAGAATGATGTCACCGACAATTCGCTACCTCAGAATTACAACGGTCTATCTGCTCACATGCCTAGTTTTGAGAACTTTGACGTCAAACTTTGTTAAGTTTCACAATAATTATGTTAAGCTTTTCCAAATTCAATTCTTTGAATATCTTGAAAACAGCTCCGAATATTATTACGATTTTGATAGAGCAGACAGAGCATTTGCTTTCTGACCTCACGGTCTTAGTAACTCAAAGTGGCCTGAAATGCCAGATAGAACTTAGATCTAGTAATTCTGAGATACTGATTTGTGTTCCACAATGTTTTCCCCTGGTGTGATACACAACAGGTTTACAATAAAATGGGGGAAATGAGATGTAAAATTTGTGGGGGAAAAAAAATTAAAGCGTATTGCGTTGTATTACCAGAACGAATTATTTGCCTCATATCTCGTTTGTTGTTTTATTTTTCAGTCATCTTTAAAGTTGTTTTTTTAATTTGTGACTTCTGTTTATTTTAGTATTAGATCTACATTATGTTTTCTTAAAATCAATATTGAAATATTCCATTATTGATTTATATTAGAAAAAGGCGAAAAGGGGGG